ATATAATCCATCCTCAACCAATTAGTTTTGCAAATTTCTCCATTATTATCAAGATTCTAATTTCTCCAATATTAAGTAACTCTGAATACAATTAATTAAAGAAAAAAGTTCTCACCACACCCATATAATATCAAATGCGTAAAATCATATGGACTCATGCACCCCAATTGAATACAAAAAAGTCAATAACAATTTAGTTAGTTATAATATTTATTCTCAATAAATGTTGTCCATAAAATGTTTTTGTATTTTATTATTGAAAAAGACAAATTCAAATTCTTTTGCGCTTAATATTTAGTGAAAAAATAAAAAAAACCTTATTTTAAATTTTTTTTTTCTAACTTGTGCCCTAAGCACAAGTTAAATAAACCTTATCTTAAAAACAATGACTTTTGACTCAATCAAGATGCTACTGCAAATTAGGGGTCATTGCCAAGTGATGGTAACAACTGTCAACGTCTCTAGGTATAATTAGGGGTTGCACTTGAAACTAGTATACGTTGTCACCGCAAATTGCAATAGAATTTTTCTAATTTTATTTTTTTTATTAATTGTTATGAAAGAAAAACTATTTATATTAAATTATAAAAGTACTCTAACAGTTGAAAGGAACAACAACAAATAAATATATATTTTTTCAAATTGGAAGTTAACCATTGGAGAACCTCTCCTAGTACAATTTTGCCAACCCAAAAAAGATCTTTTTTATTTTGTTGCCCTTTTTTTTTTTTTTTTTTGGGCCAAGTGTTTCAATTGTTTTTTTAAGTTCTTTACTGTACTGCCAACAAAATCTTGATTGATTAGTTTATGGTCAAGATTTTATCTAACTTGTGCCCTAAGCACAAGTTAAATAAACCTTAGCTTAAAACGATGACTCTTGAGTCAATCTAGATGTTACCGCAAATTAGGAGTCATTGCCAAGTGATGGTGACAACTGTCAACGTCTCTAGGCATAATTAGGGGTTGCACTTCAAACTAGTACGCGTTGTCACCGCAAATTGCAATAGAATTTTTCTAATTTTATTTTTTATTAATTGTTACGAAAGAAAAACTATTTATATTAAATTATAAAAGTACTCTAACAGTTGAAAAGAAGGAACAACAACAAATAAATATATATTTTTTCAAATTGGAAGTTGACCATTTGAGAAACTCTCCAAGTACAATTTTTTCAATCGAAAAAAGATCTTTTTTTCCTTTGTTGCCTTTTTTTTTTGTTAGCCAAGTGTTTCAATTGTTTTTTTAAGATCTTTACTGTACTACCTACAATATCTTGATTGATTAGTATTCATTAACTAAAAAAAATTTAGTTTATGGTCAAGATCTCTTCTATGCCAAGAAACTAACCCTCCAATATATATTAAAAAAAAATCCTCATTGTTCTCCATTAAAGAAATTGACCCAAAATTACCTGTATCCCACGATCATCTTCCATCATATATTTGATGATGTGTATTTGAGATATAATAGAAATCGTATTGGTGTGGAAAAAGTCTAAGAGATCCAACATTCTAAAGTCCAAATCTTCTTACTTCAATTCAAATAGTTTCTGAAAATAAAAAGAATATTTGTGAATTTTTAAAATCTATATGATTCAAATGAGTTTTTTCTCAGCTTCTCCACTGGATTCATTTTACTGAGAAAAGTGGCATACCAACAAAAGTCTGGACCAAGGTGCCCTATCAATTATATCTGTATCTGTGATGAAGGATGCTGGCGTTCCCTCGCTAAATTTGCATTTTTTTTTTCAATCTAAAGCTCGATATGTTAGTTTAAATAAAAGAATAAAACATATTATACTTTGGCTGGAAACAAACAACATCAAGGAGAAAGATTATTTTTGGTATTAACCTCTTGATATCTAATAATTATATTAGGTCTCGACTAATTTAAAATCGGATCATATTGGATCTCATAAAAGGAAAGTTTTCTCAGCGCCTGTTTTTTCATTCACAAGACTCGAATTCGAGACTTTATTTAAGAGGAACTGAATTCCGTTTATTTGAATTAACAGGTTGTTGGTAGGAGAAAGATTATATATATACAAAAACTGCACCTCCTTTTTATATAGTCGCTGTATTTTAATGATGGCTACTCGCTTCCATCAAAATACCATCCCGCGAAGATCATCCCTCCCCATAATACCTGTTTCATTACTTATAATCATTATATAAACATATAGACATGATTATGAAAATGCAAATCAAGTGGTCTAATGGAAAGCCAATAATATATAATATTAACAATCAAAGGTTTATGTATGTTAATGTGGTTTGTCACCCGGATCCAATTACCACACCTTCACATCGAAGAATCAAGAAATTTTGATTTCAATTCCTTGATTAATAAAAGATAAATTGATGTGATATTACTTGAAGAAGAAAAAATATCAATTGGCCTAATATTACCTGAAAATTGACTGTAATTGCACCGAACCAGATGTCCTTCTTCAATCCACGTTTACACTCCGGATCAACCTGTAAAGCCCCGAGGTGGGTCCTCGGGGTAGACACTCCGATGCTTAAGTCAGCAATAATTGGGACTACCTTTAGAGCGGAGAAAAAAGGAGCTTAGGGTTGGTTCTAATTACCTTTTTGACGTAGCCATTGAGGGGTATTTATAGGTTCCAATGAGGAACCCACATGGCATGCCAAGCAAGATACTCGAGATCTGATGTGTATCTCCAGACAGTTATTTCAGGGTCGGGAGATTGAGCCAAGCAAGATATTCAGGATCTGATGTGTATCTTTAGACGGTTATTTCGGGACCGGAAAATTGAGAGATATTTAGATGCGAAGATGTGCATCATAACTGTTGTGCAGCTGTTTGAGCGGGAAGTTCTGGACTTATTCTTCATTCCGGTCGTAAAGGGATTACTGTCGTACGTCCAAGGTTGGGCACCTCGGACCTGCCCTTACATTGACAAAATCATGGTTGTTGGATGGAGGGAAGATGAAAATCTAATATTTTTGAAGATAGAAGAGTAGTAAGATGAATAAGATTAACCGATTATAGTTTACGAAAATTAACCGAAGCTTTTTATGAAAAAATTAACCGATTATATTTCACAAGAATGTAGGCCATGCTCAACGGAATTTTTAAAGAAAAAAAAATCTAATTACAGTGATTTGATTTACTTTAATTTCTTAATACACAATGAGAGTAAGATTTGAAATAAATAGATCTTTTTTAATTAAAAGATTCAATAATTGATGAATAATAAGATATTAATTGCTATTCAAAATTGAATTATTGGAATTAATGAGAGAATATTATTGATACACTCCTACTAGATTTTGGGTCCCACACCCCTATTCTATAATTATAGATTAAATTAATGAGTAGAAATCTACTTATATATAATTTTTATACACTACATTTATATGAAATCTCAATTAATTTCCATCCACACACACCACAGTTACAATAAGAATAGGGGTGATGTTATTGCCGCACCCTTAATTATTAACGTCACACCTTTTTATTTTAATTGACTATTATACCTTTTAATTTATTAAGAA